TGTCACCACAACAGATGCGTAATCCGTGGCAAGATCCGAACGCATTAGGTAAAACCAGTTTACATATTTTTATATATCCTTGTTCATCAACCTTTGGCTAGCATTCTCGAGTTGTTGTCATTATTGGGTGAACTTTAAAACTTTGTCAGAAGATCCATTGTTGAATTTCGTAATTTCAATGGAGGATCCACTGCCTTGGATGGGTAGGTCTTGGAAATTAGACGTTCGAAATATGAACTTAGTGTTTCCATATATTAATCGTATATCTCTGTGCAAGTGTAGCTTAGATCCCTCCCTTTACTTTGAATTTGCTTCTCTGCTTTTCTAATCACATCATTCTGGTCTAGTGATTATTTTTCAGAAATTTTCTCATACAAGATATAGTAGTTTTCTAAGGTTTTCTGCTAAGTTCGTGCTTCGTAGTGATTCCATGTAATCGATCTTGTAGTGCGCTTCTCCATTGATGCGTGTTTCCAGACAGAAATTTTTAGAAAGGAAGAAAATGCAGATTTACACCTCAGTCATTGCTTAAGTGTGTATTTGGAACATCCGATTTTGTTTTCAGCACAAGGCGTAAATGATGCTCTGGGAATCGGCGCAACTCCTGGTGGACAAGGAAGTTGGGGTGCGCCAATGGGAGCGGCACCAGGCGACTTCGGTGAGGCCGCGAAAATCTGGTCCGACCCTCACGTAGATCAACAGCAACAACAGTTTAACCCCATGCACGGACATCATCGTAAGTAACGCTCTAGCACCGTTAATGCATGCATGACAGTGTAAGTGGCCAAGAGCCGTTAGGAAGGACGAAACCCAAACGCGGACTGCAACCCCGGTGCGACAACTCGCTTTGTTCTTTCTTCGGCTCAGTAATTTCTCTGCGATTCGCTGTCGCTAACCCTCGAAAACGCTTGATTTGTGCAGGTTTTGAATGACCATCGACGTTTGCTGTAGTATGTCAGCGATCGTGGCGGATTATCGATATCGGGGTATTCATTATGTTGAACAAGCATCGATATCGTTAAAATCACAGCGTCCTCATCTCGTCCGATTCTGCTCGAGTCGCTGAGAAGAGCCTATACTTACGGCGATGACGTCATTCCCTAATAGGCTAATTTTTCCTTTATCAGTTTACTTTGGAATTTTCTATTTTAATTTCTTGTCGTTAACTGCCTAGTTCATACTAGCACCTCCTGTATCTGGCATTTGCTGCTCACTTTTACCAACAGTGTTTCTAGGAGGAATGAACGGGATGATGGACCCACAGGGCGGGAGCGATTGGATGGGTGCAACTCCAGGCCTCAATCAGATGCCGTTATGGGGTGATTTACAGAAGCAAGATCATGACGGCTACTGGAAACATCAGCAGCAAGTAAGCATTGCGATATCACTTGCTCCTTTTTTTTTGTTATGAACAGATTACAGGCTATATCAGTTGTTATTTTAGAATTTTCAGGCTGCTGGTTGGGGTGGACCACCTAGTGGCTTAGGCGCGTGGCCACCACGTCAGATGCATCCAAATGCACCACCCCCGCAACATGGCGCACACGGTCAACCTCCACGGATGTTCGTGCAGCGACCGCCACAGGGTGCGCCTACTTGGCTGGCTTTAGTGTATCCTTTCAAATATGATATATTTATGTAATCTTTTAGTGTGGGCACCAAATGGTGGAATGATGGGTGGTCCGCCAGTTGGAAAACAAGCAATGCCATGGGATCAACAACGTATGACGGGTATGCCACGGGGTGGTATGGGACGAGGTGGTCCGGCGGGTGGTCGTTATCCTCCTGGTGGAATGGACATGAGTGTACCTCCTCCAATTGACTTGCCTGTTGGTTGTTTTTCTTACTAGCAAGCGATACTTTATCTTCCCACTGTTATACATTGCTGCCAATGTAACTTGCAATTAGTGTTGTTACCTCAAGGTTTACTTGTTTCTATGAAGGTAGTACCAATTGTGATTTACTGCGAAGTCCTAGCTCTGCGCAATAATTTCAGCTGAGCGGAATGTCTGGAATGCGGCAGATGGCTCCACCGAACGCTGCAGGAACGTGGAAGCCCGAAATTGGTGTGGCTCCTAATGGCATACGAGGCCCAACGGCATTTGGACAAGTAAGTTGCAGCTCTTGTCATTTACTACTGCAACTTATCATCGCATCAGGAATGTGATGTAATATTTATTTTAAATGCGGCATATTCAGATGGCTGCTCCATTGATAATGTCTGGAAAGCCGCAAGCGGCACCGAATCAGTTTCCAATTGGTGGCGTAGACGATCTGATGTGGCACGATCCGAATGGAGATTTGAAGAAGTGGCAACGAGACACAGGCGTATCCTTGTGGGGCGATCCAGAGAAGAACAGTACGTTATTACGCTTTTCTTTTTTCTTGTCACAACTTGGCTTGTCAATCAGAGTAGTTAGTGTACTTTTTAAGATGAGCGCCCTGTACGATTGTGGATGATCGGCGAAGGCGAAGAAGAAGATTTGGAGGTGGCATTGATGAAATGCCCAGTTCCGCAGAAGAAGGTGGATGGAAGTGTTAGTCTAAAGCGCTTACCCTGTGTCTTGTCTGGCTTGCTTTCAATAATACCCAATCAGTGTCTTCTCATACGACCTTACAAATTCAAATTTTCACTGTTTCAATCATATGTTTGCAGAATGAGGATGGCTCCGCCCGGCTGCCATTTCCAATACCTGCAAAGCGTCCCATTGTTGTGACGGGATGGGGAGAACTGCCAGAAAATGATCCCAATAATCCGATAAAGCATGGTACTATTTTCGTGATAGTATGCTATTTCCCACTGTTATATTCACTATTCCTCTAGATGAAGCTCAACCCGGTTCTGGGAAGTGGGGTGATCTTCCCTCACATTCACAGCACGCCAGCGACTCGCCATGGTTCTTGCCTTCTCAACAGCAACCTCAACCGTTCGCTCCAGAAGCCCCTGCCTGGGGACAGCCAAATACGGCCG